GTGCCTGGAGGTCTGGTGGGGGGGGTCCCCGGCCTGAGGGACCCTAGTACCGGGGGTGTGGGGGACATGGGCCTGGACGTCTCAGGGTCCCGGGCCTGAGGGACCCGCCCGATGGGGGTTTGGGGAGACCCCGGCCTGAGGGGCCCACTCCGGGGGTCTCAGAGCCGAGGGACATGGGGTTGAAGGACCTGGAACCTGAGGGACCAGGGTTCAAATTTGAAGAAGGTCGGTGGGTGTCAGGGGAACTGAGAAACCTGGGATTTGAGGAGAGGGCTCAAACTGGTGGGAAGGAGGTACCCTAGACTGAAAAACCTCATTGGAGGGCAACAAGAAGCCAAGTTCCGAGGGGCTGGAGGTCGTGAGCCACGCCTGTGGGGGGGGGGTGTTGGCCTAGGGATAAGGGATAAAGTAAGAGAATGGTTGAGGGTCAAGGTTGAGAGGTGTTCAGGGAGGCCAGGGCTGGAAATGGGGCTGGGGGCTGTGTTTACAAGGTCGCTGGAGCTGAGAGGACTGGATCTGAAAATGTGGGGCATCAGAGACCAGAGGTTGGAATGAGACTTATTTGGGGAACCCTGGGGACTGGTGCCCTGTGAGGACCATCCCCCCCCACCCCCAGACCCTATGGAGGAGATTGGTTGGGGCACCAGTTGGAGGGAGGGCTTGGTGTGGAGCGATGCTTGAGACCAGCCACTGGGACTCAAGCTGGAAAGGAAGAGCATCTGAGGGAGGGGGCTGGGCCAAGAGGAGTTTGGGGATCCCTTTTGGAAGAAGCTGGGATTCAGAGAACCTAGGTGATTCGAGGGGTTCAGGTCTGAAGGGCGTCTTAAATGAGAGTCCCAGATCTGCAGAGTGGAGTTCCATGTCTGTGGGGCAGCCCAGTGTGGAGGAGGGGCCAGGAGGTTGCTGTCATACTCAGATCTAAGTCACCCTAGAGCTGAAGTTGTTGGAATATGCTTGGTAGGACTGGAGAAATTTGGGTGGTGGGATGTGAGGCCCAGGCAGCAGTGGAAGCAAAGGACAGTAGAAAAATGAGGCTGAATGTTCAGCTGGAACAGGAATACAGGAGTTGCCTGGGTGGTACTGTGGGGTTGCTGGAGATTTTGCCCTCACTCCCTGCTAGAGCCCCCTCCCTGCCTCCCTCTGGGTGGAAGTAAGCAGAAGGGCATCACACAGAGCTGGGCGTTTGGTTGCAGAGAGTCTTCCATAAAGTTCCAGGAGAGGGCTCTGGGTCTGCTAACCAGGCAGCCCTGTGAGTAATCCAGAGCCGGTGCTGCCGCTAGGATGTCTGGGCCTCAGGCTCAGAGGCAGGTCCTGGGTGAGAGCAGAGCAGAAGTCAGGCCTGGAAGGCATGGCAAGCTGGTCCTCAGGGTGATGGAGATTGGGGATGCTTCTGTGCAGGAGCGGGATGCCTGGGATGAATGAACAGGGCCCAGAGCTCAGGGAGCAACGATTCTGAAAAGTAGCGTAGAGAACTGAGGAAGGAAGCTGGGTGAGGGGGCAGGGAGGATTCCAGCAGCCCCCAGGCTTTGAAGAGGATGGGAAAGAATTAGTGGGGACCAGAGAACCCAGTATAACCTCATGTGCTCGGGCTTACTTTCTTGGGGGCACCAGAGTGATAAAACTTTACGGGCACTTTCCTTATTCAAGAGTACCAGCTTCTCTCTCTCCTCCGCGCCCCACTCCAGCTGGCTTTCTCAGCCCAGAACGTTTCCAAGCACCTGATTGGAAGTGAAGAGGCTGCTAGCCTCCTGTGGGGAGGTGACTGACAGCTGCTGGAGCCCATGGGCCTGTAGGGAGAGGGTGGGACTTCCTGGATGCTCAGGCCTGTCTCCTGCAGCCCACCCCCCACCCTCTGCATCCCTGGAGCTGCCAGCTGGAGCCTGTGGGAGACGAATCACTGATCACCTCTGTACGGGAGGGGTGTCCTGTGGGAGGGTCCTGGGAGTTCGTAGAATCTGGGCTAGGCCCCACCCCCTGGCTCCTCAGAGGACCATATTTGGCTTTGCCCACGTGAAAATCTACCTTGGGGGCAGAGAGAGGACCCTGGGGGGGAGGGGGCAGGTATGCAGTTTTTGGGGGGTTGTTGCACAGAAGAATGTAGATGTCTAATTGGAAGCTGATGTGTCTTCCTCTGTTGAAGGCTCCCCTCTCCTCCCAGCATGCTTTCCCCCAAGTAACTTGGCTGATTTCTTAGTGATTTCCTGGGTCAGTGGATGGAGCTAGCCCCGGCCACCCCCTGACCTGTCTCTCACTGCAGATCGATGACATTGCTGATGGTGCTGTGAAGCCCCCACCCAACAAGTACCCCATCTTCTTCTTTGGTACACACGAAACGTAAGTGTCCTCAGCTGGGGCTGGGTTTTCCCCTCCTGGTGCCTCGTGGGGTGGCCCAGCTCACCTGGGCCCGGCCCGTGCTTCCTTTCTCCAGAGCCTTCCTGGGACCCAAGGACCTGTTTCCCTACGACAAGTGTAAAGATAAGTACGGGAAACCCAACAAGAGGAAAGGCTTCAATGAGGGACTGTGGGAGATCCAGAACAATCCCCACGCCAGCTACAGCGCTCCTCTGGTGAGTACGTGTGGGTGGAGAGCCGCCGGCGTGGTGTCTGCAGAGCCCAGGTCAGCACGGGGACCAGAGGCGGTCTTAGCTTGTCTCGTGGCAAAAGAGGAGGCCTCTGGGATGGTGCTCCTCCAAACTCGGCCCCGCTGACATCTGGGGCCTAATCGTCCTCTCAGGGGCCATCCTGGGCACGGTGGGTGTTCAGCAGCATCCCTGGCCCCCACCCACTCGGTGCCAGGAGCTCATTCCCTACCCAGTTGTGATAACCAAATATGTCTCCAGGCATTGCCAAGTGCCCTGGGTTGGGTGGAGGGGTGCAGGGTCACCCCTGGTGAGACCCACTGTGCTCGGATTAGCCTCAGTGCATAACTTTGTTGTTACAGCTCCAAAGAAACCTTTTGTTTCCTAAGGAAAAGAATTTTTTTCTTTCAATAACACCCCTTCCTTCCCCTATTACTGCCAGATTTCAGACTCAGAAAAAGGCCGTAATTAGCAGATGTTAGAGTTCTTGGTTAGGTGAGAAAGAAATGCCAAGAGTCACAGATGACATCTCAGTGGCAAATCAGTGTCTGGAAACATTCAGGGAAAAGAAAAGAATTTAGAGAAGTTGAAGTTAAATTCATAAAAAGCCTTGGAAAGCTGAGGAAGGACGGCAGAGGAAGCCTTGCTCTGGGTGTGTGGGGTGAGGTTGGCGGATGAGGGGAGGCTGGGCTGGGGGTCTCCACTCTGCTTTTCGCCACCACTCTTGGGGTTCCTGCGGGAGGCGCATAGAGGTGGAGGAGCCTGGCCTCAGGAGGGGTGGGCTCGAGGTTGGCTGGGAGGCCAAGGGAATTGACTGCAGGGCTTGGAACTCGGCTGTTAAGAAAGGAACGGACCTTTCATGTGGTCTGCGGGCAGGGAAGCAGAGCTGGAGAGAGCCTGGTTTGTGTGAGCGAAGGACCGAGTAGTTCTGTAGTGTCTGGTCCTGCTTGAGAATTCGGGGTCTCAGGATGGTCTGGATGTGCCTCTCCTGCAGCTCAGTCCACCCATCCATCCGGCAAACGCTCCTGTCTTGACCCCTGCCCTGCTCGGGCCTTGTGGTCTCCTAGGGACCAGGAATCCACGATGAAGCTGACACACCTCTGGCCTCCTGGAAGCTCAGGGTCCAGAACCCGGGGTCCTTCCACAGGTATCTGTCGAGCACCAAGGCTTGGCAGCACCTGCCTGAGGGACCTGGCCCACATTCCATGCGCCTGGATGTCTCTTACTTTTTCTCCCCTGGTGGGTCTGGGAGACCGAGGTTCCCCCTGCTTTGATCCCTGCCGTCCTTCTGGGCTTTGCTTGTTCCTGACTTGGGTAAGTGGATCGGAAATTCTTTAAGGTGGTTGAGTTTCATGAGCTCTTTTTCTGGCCCCAGCTCAAGATCTGTTTAGTCTCATCCTAAGCTTATTGCCTCCCGGTGAATCATCGCACCATTTAATACTTATTACACACCTTCAGCCTGCTAAACACTGCGTAGACGCCTGCCCTCGAGGAAATGAAACTCAAAAATGGTGTAACCTGGACATTAAACCAGCCCTCTGCAGACTCCCCAAGTTGAGAAGTAGCTGTAAGTCTGAGTGTTTGTGCTGTTGCTGTTGGTTCCCTGACCCATCTACACCTCCAAACCGAACATCGGCTTAAAAATGCAGATACCTGGGCCCCACCCATAGAGATTTAGGTTTAGTAAAGGCCTAGGGCTGAGGCCTGGGCTCCTTGAGGTATTCATCCCACGCGTTACCCTCGATGCTTCTGATGGAGCCAGCCCACAGCAGGCTTCTGGAAGCACCTCTTTGAGGGTGCCTGGGCAGTCTGTCTTTTCATCCTGTGAGTTTTTAGTTTATTTTTACGTTTCAAGTGGGAATACAGACTTCATTGTACAAGACTGAAAAATACAAAAGGGCATACGGTGTGCGGTCAGTCCTGCCTCCCAGCTGCTCTGTTTCGATTTCCTTTCAAGGTAGCCCCAGCTACCAGTTCCTTGCGGGTCCTTCCGTGATCCTTTATTCACGTAAAACCCTCCATAGCTTGCTTTTTTAGAGCATGTAGTTCTCTACTTTGCTTTATTCCATCAGTAACGTATCTTGACAGTTGATCCCTCTTGTCGTGCGAAGAATAGTTTCATTCTTTCTGACAGCCTTAACCCAGCGTGCTCCCACCAGGTGCATCCTGCCAAGCCCAGAGGTGGAAAATGGTATCTCAGGGTGGCTCCAGGCACACAGTGATCCCAAGATGGGCTGGGCAGGCCATATCTTTTCCATTTTACAGCTGAGCACACTGGGGACTGGAGAGACCCTGCTAGAATCTGCCACCTCTGAGACGTAGACCAGGGTTTTTGAACACTGTGGGCTGGATCACTCTCTAGGGGCGACCTGAGCACTATGGGCTGTGGAGCAGCCTCCCTGGCCCCACCCACCTGATGCCAAGACCACCCCCACCACTATCTTGACCATCTGAGTGTCTCTAGACTTGGCCACATGCCCCCTGGGGAACCGGATCACCCCTGGTTGAGAATCACTGACGTTGAAGTTCCCCAGTTGAACATCCTCGTGACCGGACAGAGGAGGAGATAAAGGGACCTGTCCCAGTAGCTGGTTAGGGCTGAGCTGGGACTAAAACCCAGGCCCCTCGTCCCCCAGGCTGAAATTCTTTTCTGGTCAGTATAAGATGGGGACAGGGGATTACTGGAGCAGGAGGCGGCTGGGAGAGTGACATCTGCGCACAGGGACCTGGGGCGAAGAGCCCTACTGTGTGGGTGTGTGGACCTGCGTTCGAGCCCTGGCCCTTCCTCTTGCTCACCGTGCACCTTAGGGATCGATGTCACCTCTCTGAGCCTGTTTCCAAATCTAAAACAAAGGTTCAGGGTAGAGCCAGCTCTCGTGGGACTGTTGGGAGAACGCAGGGAGCACTGCGTGCCTGGCACCCAGCATGGCCACGTGGGTAGCGCTCAGTGGTGAAGGGGCGGTAGTGGGGGCTGAGGAGGCCAGGCTGCGCTTGACTTTCCCCTTCCACCTCAGTCACCCCCCGACCTGTGAAGACGGCTAGAGAAACCCACACTCGTCCCACTCAGCCAGCGGGTCTTGGGGTGGGCCCGCTCTGGGCCTTTACTTCCTGGCTCCTCTCCCAGCCACCAGCATTCTTGTCCCCTGAATATCCCCACGGAGGTCAGATTTCCCAGAACCTTTGCTGGCAGGTGGTTCGATCCCATGGGCTGAGCCCAGGAGATCCAGAGTTCCTGGCTTTATCCACAGGCACAGTGGAGGGCAGGTTACTTACCTTCCCGGAGATTCTCTTTCCCGACTTGTGGAATGTGCCCATTTGTCCTGGTCACCTGCCCGGGCCATCAAGGCACAAATAGGGTCACAGTCGGTTGAGGGCTTGGCAGACGCAGGGCGGGATTTTCCATGAGCAGAAGTGTGTCCGCTGGACCAGGCTTCGAGGCCGAAAGCGGGCTGGCTTGTACCCCAGCGCTGTTGCTTACTCACCATGTGATCTGGGGCTGTCACGCCGCCCTTTGCCTCATTGGCAGAGTGAGGATGCCAGCTCCCACGTGTGACACGGAGAGTGGTGACCACTCGTGTATGGGGGTTAGACCTAACTAGTGCTGCCTCTTCCTGCCACGGTACTGGACCCATCCTCCTGCAGATCAGGAGGGTCTCGGACCCGCCATCTGGTTGCTCACGCTTCAAGCTGCTGTTTTCCCCGAGAAACCCCGGGGATGTCATCTCCCTCCTCCACTTGCCAGGGGTGCTCCAAAGAGAAGCGACGCCCCGGAGGAGAGGTGTGAGGGCAATCCCCCTGAAAGTCTTATTTTTCTCTCCTGGGGTTTCAGGTTCAGGGCTTGACCTAGTTGTGTGGCACTTTTTAGTCTTGTCACACAGCAAAGCCAGGGCCCTGTCGCTGTGCCTGGGGGCCTTGGCCATGATGACTCAGGGATGCGGGTCGACGGGGTCCTGGGCCTCATCTTCCTTGCTGGTTCTGTGGACACTGTTAGCCCTTCTGCGCAGAGGCTGTGGGGGCTCAGGACCTCTCGGTGAGGAGAGCAGGGGCCACGTACAGGGTGAGCATGGAGCGCAGGAGGAACGGACCGCCAGGTCCCTCTGTCCACTCCCTCCACCCACGCTGTCCCTGTCCTGGCCCTGGCACCCACCTCCTCTCCCACGTTTCCGTCCCCTTCCACGTCTTTCTGCTTTGATGTGCTGCTGAGGCCTCGGCTCAGCCTCTGTCTGGCGCTGACCTGGGCCCTGTGCCCTCCTCCAGCCCCCCGGCCGCACACACTGCCTCTCCCGGTTCCTTGTGCCCAGTTTCACTTGGTGCATCTCGTCACCGTGGCCCTGGGGTCCCCCTCTTGCGCCTCCTCGTGTTTTTCTTGGCCAGCATGCGTGCCCACTCCCATGCATTGACCCCTGACAGTAATCACACCAAGGGAATGTGACTTTTTGGAGTCTGTTGGAATGTCCTTTTTTTTTTAATTGCGGTAAAATCCACTTAGCATAAAGTTCACCATTTTAAGCATCTTAAAGTATATGCTACAGTGGCTTTCAGCGCATCCACAGTGTTGTGCAACCATCACCACTGTCTGATTCCAGAACACTCCCATCACCCCACCGAGAAACCCCCTCCCCATTAGCAGTCACCTGTAATTCTTCCCTCCCTTCAGCCCCTGGGAGCTCCTTATCTACTTCCTGTTTGTATGAATTTGCGTATTCTAGACTTTTCGTATAAGTTGAATAATGTATTTGGTCCTTTGCGTCTGGCTTCTTTCACTTAGCATGTTTTCGAGGCTCATCCACACCGTGACATGATTCAGAGCTTCGTTCCTTTTCTTGGCCAAATATTATTCCATTCTGTAGCTGTCCCATGTTTTGTTTGTTGGTCAGTAGATGGACACTTGGGTTGTGGCTTTTACAAAATCTCAGTCTCTCTCTCTCTTTTAAAAAAGTTCATGATTTAGAAAAGAAGTACTATAGAATAGTGCAGTCAGATTTTATACTCAGCCTTGGCCGTGCTGGGTGCCCCAGAGCGGTAGCGGCTCCCTGGAGCCGGGACCTTGTCTTACTGGTCTCTTGCCCCAGCACCCAGCGCAGGGCTGGGCACGTAGTCAGTATTCCACACACTCACTGGATGAATGAGTGATGGCTGAATATGACCAGGCCTCCTCCACGTTTCTCCTACAAACATAAAACACCCAGAGCAAGTTCAAAAACAGGCCCAAGAAAGCCCTGTGGCCTGACTCACTGTGCTCCTCTGGACCCGCGATAGGCCCTGTGTGGTCCGGCCCTGGCCCACCCTTCCGTCCTCTCTCCTGCACCCCAGCCACACCCACCTCTCCGTGTCTCTAAGGGCACCTTCACTTATGCTGGCCCTGCCTCCTGGAACTCTGGCCCCGTCCACTTTGCATTCTGGGGACAACTCCTCAGCTGAAATGTCACGCCCTCCAAGGGTCCCCCCACCCCCACTTCAAAATCTTCCTGTCACTTTGCCCCCACCTTTCCCTGATTCCTTCACTCCTGTGCACCAGTATTTTCCAGTCTGCCCATCACCAGAGTGACGCTGATCTGTTGAAGTGTGCTCAGTCTCTCATTAGATTGTAAGCTCCCGGGGGCAGGGGCCATGCTGCATTCACAGCTGGGTGCCCACCGCCAATCTAGCACAGTGCCTGGCACCCGGCAGCTGCTCGCGGCCAGCTGAGTGTGTAGTCAGGTCCAGCAGGCGGCCAGCACGGAAGAGGTGCCATCTGCGTGTTTGCAGTTTTAGTGGCTGTGACTGCCTGAGCCTGCATTTTGGGCTAAACACGTAGAAGCATCAGAAGTTCAAGCCCAGCAATCCTGCCCTAGGTCATTTTCCTCCTCAAAAATAATGGGATGATAATGATTTTTACAAAAAGCAAACCTTGATGGACTTCTTGCTAGTCTGCGCACTGACCTGAGTACATCACTTCTGCCTCATCCTCGCCACGGCCCCATGAGGCCAAAGCAGTGTTGTGCCCATTGCTCAGATATGGGAACTGAGGCACAGAGAGGCTTATGTCACTGACCCAAGGTTTGCCCTTGGACCCCACAGTGCTTGAATCCTAGCGCTCAGGACGCGTGTCCGCTTTGTCCTCCCACCTCAGTTCGCGGGGCTTTCTGGGCCTCCATTCCCTCATTTGGGGAGTGAGCGGCCGGGCCTTGATACCTGAGACCCTGCAGGTAGGCGCTGTCCTGTGAGTTGCCGTCTTGGTTGGGAAGCCCTCCCAGCCTGGTGGTGACCCGCTGTCTCTGCCCCCCGCCCCAGCCGGTGAGCTCCTCCGACAGCGAGGCCCCCTGAAGCAGACCCAGTGGGCGGGAGCGAAGATGAGG